GTTCTCAAAATCGAGTTGCAAATTCAACTGTTATCTTGATTCGATTTCGAGATTCGATTTTAAAATCGAATTTTCAAAAATAATCACGAGTGATTTTTCCTTTATTTTTTTAATTAATTATCTTTGAAATTTATGTCGAAATTCGATTCGATTCGAAAATTATCGAAAAATCGTTTTGAAAAATTGGATCAAATATTGATTTGCTTCAAAAGCAATGAATTCGAAAATTTAAAAATTTCGTCCAAAAATTAAATTTTCGAAATTTTTGATTATACTCGAAAGTTTAATTTTGAAGTGATTTTTCTCTCATTTCTTCAAAAGTAAAAACCAATTTCGAAGATATCAAATTGTTTTCGAATCGTATACAAAATATCCAAACTCCCCCTTTACATCTTAACACCCTGTGTGGTTTTTCGAGGAATAATATAATCGATTAACAGCAAGCTACGTGATGGAATTCATGCCCACCATCGACCGCAAAGGTAAGTGAAGCTGCCAAGATCGAGAGGATCGTGAAAGAAGTTCTGCAGCCACACGATGACTCATGCACGAATTGCGTCATCGTATTGTGCATGTACAGGTAATGCGATACATGGTTCATTTTTGGCCAGAAAACTTGATGGAAGGAGGCAGAATCAACAAAACAGAACGAAATATATATTTATATTCACGATAATTCTTTGATTCTCTCACTTTTTCTTCCTTCCCTCCCTCCTCTCTCTCTCTCTCTCTCTCTCTCTTCATGTAAATCGAGAGAATGTGAAAAGATTCGAGAAGATTCGATCCAAATCAGGTATCGATCGAAGTGTTTATATAAAGAATTGCAAAAGAGTTTGTCCCTGCTCCTGACCTACTGATCTCTCCTCACTGCTGCAACCTGCATGCGCCTGTTGGTTTAAACTGTTTACCATTTACTGCACGCTTCTCGGTGTATCCAGCATGCCTTATATCATTTTAGCACGTTGCTCGAACACGTATGGCCTATGGTGTATCCTTTGTCCTCCTTGTCGTCAATTTGACGCATTTTGTACGTATATCGCTTGATTTTCATTCCAAAATCTCGCTTTGCTGGCTTTTCGAATCACTTGGAGAAACTTGTTACGTTTAAAATATTATATGGAAGAAACTGTTAATGTTTCTTATCTTTGTCTTCTCGGTCAAAAAATCGAAGAGTTGATTTGCATTTGAAATTAAATATTGACGAGTATTATTTTCAATATTTTCTAATTTGTGAAATTAGATTATTAAATTATGAAATTAAAAATCCAAATATTAGGAATAAAGAGAAATAAGTATTATTAGAGACTGAATATATTAGAGTCAAATTTAATTGAATTTAATTAACCGTTTTGGGATATGTCTGTAAAGGATTGAAAAGGTTAACCGTTTGTAGAAAAAAAAAAAAAAAACGAATGTTCCATGT